TTGTGCCTCTTTCTAATTGAATGGGAAAGTGCAAATTAAATTACTGAGTGGGTAACCTAACAAGAGACGCTAAAAAGTGTCATACTCTAGTAACCTATCCATTCAAATATGAGCGTCAAAACCTTGGTCATCGAATACTAATCTCATATGATCTAACTGCTTATTTATCAACGGGTTTATTTTTTTATATATCAATCTTTGAAAGAGAAGGCTTAGTGGATGAAATAATTACGTATTACCAACCAATGTTGTTGTTGGAGGTTCAAATCCTTAAAAAAATGTTTAATGCTGATTTAAAAAGCACACTTACAGGCCCCACTGACTTGAAAAATTAGTCTAAAACAATGAATTCTGAATTATTTTTATCCTGTTTCTTAGACGACTACCTGAGTACCTACAAAAAAAACCCTACTTTGTCTCAATAGATAGATACATTGATAGATATGAACAGACTGATAGATAGATAGATAGATAGATAGATAGATAGATAGATAGATAGCGTGTTATTAGGCTACAGAATCCGAACAAAAGTGAAGAAATGTGAAAAAGTGGAAAAGCTTTTTATTGAGAACGCGTTTCCACTTCGTTAAGTAGTTAGCTCGGCGTCTTCAGGTCAGAAGGAATATCTTTCCTTCTGAATGATTTTTATTCTGACCTGAAGACGACTGCCTAATTACCTAACGAATTCGAAACGCGTTCTCAATAATAAAAAAAATAAAAAATAAACTTTTTCACTTTGAACCAGAAAGTGATGAAATTTCTGGAAGCCATAAGGCGTGGAAAGAGGGCTTGAAAAATTTGACAATCATGGGATATATTGAAGGCAAAAATGGGATACATTGAAAGACAGTGGGCAACTTACTCGACAAGGTTATATGAATGTATGGCAGAACAGGGAATGAGTGGGATAGTTAAAAGACAAGCATTACGAAGAGCTGCAAGGTATAAGAGATAGCAGAGGGCCATGATCGCCCAACTCCTGAAGGGACACGGCTCATAGAATACTTTACTTAGTCTAATAAACTTCCGAAGACAATATTGATAGAGCTATCTATCAATTCCAGTCAATTCATATTTATTAATCTCTTAAAGTCTGTAAGGGTGAAAAACTGTAATAAACTAGAGCCATCCAATAACACTAGTTATCTATAAAGCACTTTCTAGCAGTTCTTCGAGACTGAAAAAAAAACACGTTAAATTCTCGTCATTTTCACGTATTTTTCAGTTGTATTATTATTATTATTATTATTATTCATCTACATATGCATATATGTGTTGATGTATGTATACATATTCATAAGTGTTTCATGCACACATACATATGTGTACACAGGTGCATAAAGAGTTGAATAAATCTATCTTCATGTGTTTGTAGTTATGACTTGTACCTCTCTCACAGTGTGTATGTATGTGTGTGTGTGTGTGTGTGTGTGTGTGTGTGTGTGTGTGTGTGTGTGTGTGTGTGTGTGTAAGAGAGAGAGAGAGAAAGAGAGAGGTTTTAGCATCCATCTCTTCTGTATGTTTCTCTATGAGTCTAAGTGGACACAGTGGTAACCAATTTTTTCCGTTTCTCGAATGAGAGAAAGAGAGAGAGAGAGAAAGAGAGAGAGAGAAAGAGAGAGAGAGAGAGAAAGAGAGAGAGAGAGAGAAAGAGAGAGGTTTTAGCATCCATCTCTTCTGTGTGTTTCTCTATAAGTCTAAGTGGACACAGTGGTAACCAATTTTTTTATGCCCGTTTCTCGAATCTGGGTTTCTTAAATTACAGAAAGTGATAGAATTGAGTCACAAAGTCTCAACTTCCATAAAAAAAAAATTGCCACTTACAAAAGAGAAACTGTATTCTAAGAAACAAGTATTCGAAACTGAGTTGAAATATTTAATATTTTTCGCAAGTAGATTCCACGTTTCTCCTCCGAAAATTAATCAACAGGCCACGGTAAACATTTTTTACTTTGTTCTATTCTGACTAGGGTCATCATCTTGTTGGTCATATTAACAACGTTTCGGCCGTTGCACTCGCTGAACTTTTTTCAGGTGTCTGTCATTCGTTAACATTCTGGGAATATTGATCTGATTCTTTGATTCAATCAAAGGGAATAGATTATTCTTAATCTATCGTCCATGGGGATTTCTTATATTAATTATTTATGCTAATTACTACTAGATGGTTTTGAGATCCTATAGTGGCTATTTCGTGTGAACTCTCCTGTCTGAAGAGTTGCGACAGTATATACTTTTGCATAAGTTGATCATTTAAGCCCAAACTATTAGACATTAAATCAGAGCTTGACATAGATAATAGGTTTGTTAGGTTAAAATCCATGCATGATGAAAAAAGCTGAGACAACTCTTAACTTTAAACATGAAATTAATTCCCAGTAACTAACTCTTCTCAAAAGTCTTGTATTGAAATGATATTATATCCTAACAGACTTGTCTAAGTATTGAATATCTTGGATTCAAAAGTTTTCATATTTTGGTGTAAAGTGACTGAATAACAAATGAGAACTGTTTTGCTTTCAATGCTGCTATGCCGACCAATAGACAGTTTATAGAGCGTAAGGGTTTGTTTTTTTTAGCAAACTTCCTGATATGTTTTTAGATATCATAAAATAAGTGGTTTGTTAGAGTAATTTTTAAGACTGTTTTGAAAAAGTGAAGTTAATTTATATTCGAAGCATATCACAATGATTTGGATTGATTGATTTAATTGTTTTTTACCGCTTAACAACCTTTTTCAGGTTATTTAAAGCCAGAAAATATTTTTTTAGATAATAAGACATTTTTGGAGATAATAATGATTTACTGATAAATGACTTACTAATTAACCCATAGATAAGCGAGAATTGGTGGATTCATGCCTTTTCCAAGAGTATTTGCGCGTAAGTGTATATAGCGAACCCAACTGGAATTGGAACTCGGCTCTCCGATTTTCAATTCTGTGCCTTTAAACACTACACCACCCATACACCCAAGATTACACCACCCATTCAGGTATTGACCAGGCTCGACGTTGCTTAACTTCAGTGATCCTACGATAAATAGTCAAATTTTTGGCTGAAATTACTTATTATTTATTAATTATTTTTTTTTTTTTTTTTGTAGATTAGTATCTTTACATTTATTGTTTTCATTGCAGCGTCTGGGTCAATGGGTTTCTTCAGGGGCATTCGGTAAATTTCAATTTAGTTTTAAACGTAATTATTTATTTCGCCCCAAATGATATGCTATTTCTTTTGATTCTTGTCACCATTTCATAACTTTCTTTAAGAACTAATGATTTTAGTGATTCATCTTATGCGGTTACAGTGAGTTCATCACAAGCTATTATGTTCGTTCATTATTGCTTAAGGTTTATGTTCCGTACATATTAAGTACATACTGAGGAATAACAGAGAATACACCAACTGGAAAAAAAGAGACAAGAATGTCAGACTGAAAAATTGTTATCTCTGTTCTTTCCTAATTATATGAAATATGCTTTCTATTGTATACTTGAGTGTGAATTCATACAACTGCTAATACTGTCTAACCTACACGTTATTTCCAAGGTAAATTTGTGCGCGGTTGTATACAACATTTTTTTTTTTTTGACTGAATTTATATAAAAGCATAAGCAAATATTGTGAATATATACGAAATAAATTCCAATTATGTCAGCAAAAGAGACAGCTCAACATGCAAATTACAAACTGAAGAAACAAAAATTAAACAAGTACAACAATTTAAATATTTGGGATGTATTTTAAACACAGGACGGAAAGGGTGACCTGAAATCCGAAGATGCATTGGGATAGCGAAAGATGCTTTCCAAAAGCTAAGAAAAGTATTAAGAAATAGGAAATTTTGTTAGAAACAAAGAACAGAGTACTGAACTGTTACGTAATATCGGTCCTCCTATATGGCAATAGACGCTGGACAATCTCATCACAAATGACGAAGAGACTTGAAGCAACAGAAATGTGATTCTACAGAATGATACTAAGAATACCATGGACCGGACATGTGAGCAATGATGAAGTTTTAGAGAAAATGGAAACAAAAAGGATACTTATACTTAATAGCAGAAAGATGCAGCTGGAATTTCTAGGGAACATAATGAGGAAAGAGGGCTTGGAAAATCTGATACTCACAGAACAGATTGAAGTCAAGAGGAATAGAGGAAAACAATGCATTACCTACCTAGCGAGCTTTAGTAAATAGATTGCGGAACCAGGTTTAGGAGTGATAACAAAAAGATAACATTTATTAAGAGTTACAAAAGACAGGATATTGTCGAGAGCCATGATCGCCAATGTCCTGAATGTACTCGGAGCATAGAAGATGAAGCAGATCATCTTGGGTAGTGATTAAACTGGCCTTTCTTTTCCCCTTGTCGTACTACCAAAGGCGACAAAATGTAGTCGTATTATTTGTAATAAAACGCGAAGGTTATTCCAAAAATAACATCTCCTATTTTATTATAGATGCCCACAAGATCAGAGGGGGATATTGACATTTATTAAGATTACCTTGATACAGTGAGAAGCCAAATGGAGGTGAGTAGGAATGAAATGATGATATCAGTTATATGGCAGCAGAGGCTGACATTCTAAATAATAAACCGTAATTCTTTGTCCCTACCATTTTTAGCAGCTAAGTAGCAGCCTGGTAAAATGGCGCCTGATATGGAAGTGTGTACCAAGAGACATGTCTCTGAATTCCCTCATACTAAAAATAATCGATCCCACTGATATTTATCGGCATTTGTTGATTGTTTATGGAGACAAAGTAGTGGATATAAGAAAAGTTAGTTAATGTATATCATCTGTGGTTACAGTGATGCCGATGACGGACCATGTTCCGGGTTACCCTGCACAAATGTCAATCAACCAGTAGAAAACGCATAGCCAATGGTAGAGACTATCTGAAAATATATTTTTCTAGATGGAAACTTGCTTTATCCAAAGCTTTTATTGTGTTTCCTAGACCTGTTGTAGTTTCTGTGGAAATAAATTGTA